TGAGAAATAAAACATCCTTTCAAGAGATAATTCTGTTTTTAGAGATGGATAATAATAATTGTGAGCCAGCTTTTCAACCTTCACGATGGGAAATGATCTGTGGAGTTTCATTCTTAAATTAAATATCTCCAGATTAAAGAATTTCACTCTTGATTAATTAAATATGTCAGTGTTAGAAAGTGAAAAACCGCGTGACTGTACAACACTCGCTTGCGCTGGTGAGAAAAAAAGAGGGTCCTTCGATGAAAGCATGGAGCGGAGACTCAACATAAAAGACTTATAAGATACTCATCCATCTCTCTCTGTTTAAGCTAGTCTGACTGCAACCGTACATCATCTATAATGCAAGTAATTCATTTTTAAATTATTAACCAGTTTTTGGGAACACAGACGAATTAAGATTTTACAAGTAACTGGCAGAGAAAACAAACGATTTGTTTGCATTAACAAATATCTGATTTATGATTGACTAAATAGGCATTTTGGTACCAGGGAGCGTTATACTACTGACAGTTTAACTAATTAAAAATGAGCAACAAGGGTGAAATCACTATCATACATACCCACCACCCTCCTGAGGTGTGTGAAAATATAAAGGATTTACAGCACAAAAACAATTTTGAGCTTACTATAAACTATAATTGGATTTGTGATTATGTTAATGGATTTCATATACTGTATAACATGCAAGGTTTTCATCTACATGTTAAAAAATGTCTGATATAAACGACTACTGTAAATAATAAAAATAAATTGTTCATAATATACCATTTTGTTTATTTAAAAATATAGTATTTAGGGGCTATAAACAAATTTATTATAGTAAATTCATATACATGCATACACACACACACACACATACATTTATATATATTAGTAACAGCTCACGTGGTAAATGTAAAAAGTATAAAAACAATAAAAATTATAAAATTATAAAGTGGTATAAATGTGTACTGCAAATGATAAAAATGTTTATAAATATATATATAAATATAAACATACTGTATATTTTTTAAATATTACAATAAGCAATATATAATTATACTATATTACTAATTAATTAATGAATGCATCATAAGTGACACCAATTTAGGTTAAATGATCAGATTTTTCACATTTTCACTCAAACAAATTTACAAATTTAAATCAAAAACCGAGACACAGACGTTGTGTTACAACACAAAATGTGTTCACCGTTTTCCCCTATGGAAAACATTTACACCAGGCAGCCTTATGGATCATCGCTAAACATAGAGGAATCAGCGGCGTTAATGAATTATGATATGACTCACGCAAAAGACATTTGCATTTGCATCTTAAAAAAGGGCAAATGAAACAATCAAAGCGGTCACTATAGCAACCACTAAAAGGAGAACTACCTTCAAGGAGCTTTATTAGAGAGCTGTTGAGCTGGTGTCTGAAGGCCTTAGAGAAGACTAACGTGTGCGGACGGAAACAAAAATGGATTGAACCTTTAAGTAAACATGACAGCGAGCTCAGTCACAACAGGTTTGTTTTTATGTCGGACTGGTTTTTGGAGGGAGAAAACTACATTAAACTTAGAACAAGAACAGACACGTGGATTGTGGACTACGTGATCTCATTAGTATTCTCAGGTGTTCAAACGTACACATGCTTTTTTTGTTTGTTTGGCCAGATTCATAAAACAACAATGTATGTAAAATGTAAACCCTTTGTAAAAAACCTGGAATTACTGAAAAAAAAAAAAAAA